GTTTCTCTTCAAGTTGAGTCTGTCATGGTTTCCTCTCCACCGTATTCATCCATCAGCAGTACTAATAAAACAAATGTTGCGTAACATCTCCTAGACTTTAAAAGGATCGTAACAGTGACGCTGCTGACGTAAGACGCTGCTGACGTGTGTCTGGTGCGTCCGTGTATTCGGGTTCAAATAAATATGGCTGGGCAAAAAAATACAAGTCTTCCTCTGTGTGGAAATCCTTAGACATGTTTGCGAAGATTGTTTTGTTTCCAGCGTGCGTCTCCCTCAGACTGTAAACGAAGCTCGGGCGCACCAGACACACGTCAGCAGCGTCTTACGTCAGCAGCGGCACTGAACGCGGATCCACAACAGAACCAGAATACACACACACACACACCAGACACACGTCAGCAGCGTCTTACGTCAGCAGCGGCACTGAACGCGGATCCACAACAGAACCGGAAGACAATACAATGCTCAATAAAGTCCTAGTTTTTGTTATTTTTGGACCAAAATGTATTTTCGATGCTTCAAAACATTCTAACTAACCCACTGATGTCACATGGACTACTTTGATGATGTCTTTATTTCCTTTCTGGACAAGGACAGTATACCGTACATACATTTTCAATGGAGGGACAGAAAGCTCTCGGACTAAATCTAAAATATCTTAAACTGTGTTCTGAAGATGAACGGAGGTCTTACGGGCTTGGAACGACATGAGGGTGAGTCATTATTAATTGGCGAATGGTTGGCGATGTCACTTTGTAAAGAAACACTACGTGCCTGTGCACATGCACATTCTTCTGTAGAGCAGTGAATACCAACAGATACACTTTGCTGGAGAAGTGTTTATAAACTCAGTATCTTGAGCAGCACAAACACAATCAGTCCGCCATAGTTTTTTGGTTGTCAAGAACTTGCGCTGCCTATAGACTGAACATGTAATACGCGCATTACGTCATGATAACTGTCTCGTTTTCAAAACCTTGCGCTTTCAAAATAGTTTGTTTCAGGCCCCCAAAACGCTGCTGTGAATTGATTAGCATTTGTAGAACCACAGTTTTTCTACAAAATGCCATTGTTAATCTATGGTAGGTGTAGCAAAACCATGGTTAATTTGTGGTTACCATGGTTTAACTACAATAACCACGTATTTTTAGTATTTGTATTAAAACCATGGTTCATTTTCAAAGTCCCCCTGTAGTGAAAATCAAGCTTTTAATGTTGTTTATACATCTATGTGGTGTTATTAATATGCTTTAAGACAAACCATGTGTAAATTTGAGTATTTTCTCCTTAAAACTGCAGTGAACCAAAGACAGTCTCAAAAACACGGTTTGAAATCGCTGGTGTTTCTGACGTCACAAACTACCTTGTAACCAATCAGGTCAACGTGTGATCGCCAACGAGTGGATCTCTGAGCTGCTGTGAGTGAGTGGAGGCGGGGCTAATTTGCATATTAAGGGGGACTTCAATGGTTTTGATGGACATTCTGTTGACTATAAGTAATGTTGCACCAACATGCCAACTAACTCTCGTTAATCTGCTTAATATCTGCTAGGGTTGGGTAAAAAATATCGATTTCTCGATATTAATCGATTCTCATTTTTCGAACCGATATCGATTCTTAAATCTCAAGAATCGATTAGTCATCCTGTTTTCATTTGATGAATGAATGGAACATTGTAGCGTGCATCCCATCCAATAAATCGCAATAATCTTTGAGCTTTGTTACTATTGATACTAAATAAAGTCTCAAATTTCAAATTACGTCCATTTTCTTACGAAATTCAAAAACAGAAATACCGTTTTGGCGCTGTGGCGTGAGATCGCTCTGGCTCAGCTCAAGAGAAGCACATGATCTCCTCTTCTGCCTTAATAATACCAGTTACAGTGCGAAATAAACATGAATGAACGTCTGAAAGTGTGTTAAAAGATAGAGTACAACTTATCGAAATCCGTATCATGTCACATGGAATCGCTCAATCAGTGTTTCAACAGCGGAAGGACGTCAGTAAAACATGTAACATCACATTTACCTCAGAAAAACCATATGTGACCATAAACTCGTTAGTCAGCTAGAAAAATTAACTCTAAAGAGGAGCATTTTGCTAAATATATGCACCATATTACATATTCATTATAATTTTTAATGTTCTTCGATATTTAATGAATGTTTGAATAAATCTGGCAAGTTTTTATGACAGCCACCATTTAAATGTTTATATTTCATATAACTTTATTATTATAAAAATAAATAAGTGTAATTTAAGTGTTTGTATAGCTACAAATCAGTTAATTTTTACCTTCAATATTATAGTAGGCTAATGAAGCCTAGTAGGCTACAACTGACTCCCACAGCATTAGTTAAGAGATTTGTTTTCCTTGAAAAAATTTGCCATGTATTGTACCTGATATCCAAAATAATCAATAATTGAATCGAATCGAATCGAATTGCAAGCTTGTGAATCGAAATCGAATCGAATTGTGAAATTTGTGTCAATACCCAGCCCTAATATCTGCTAACACTTTATTATGATGGTCCACAACAGACTGGTCCACAATAAGTTACTTTGCAAGTGCATGTCAACTTTTTGTCTAACCCTTTTATCTACTAACCCTAACCGTCTACGCATACTCAACTAATAGAGGGAATGCATTGATGTCACGTGTCTCACGTGAACACGCCCCCTCAGCTGGACTGAGTGGCAAAAGAGCTGCTGCGTGACTGGATTTAATAGGGGAAACTGCGGAAACGAGAGTAAAACAAACGATGTTTGGACTCGATATAAGTGTTCCTTACAATTTAGGCCTACCAAAGATCCAGTGATCCATATTGACACGCAGCCATTGTGTTTCCTGACATTTGTGTGCCTGATTTCGACGCCGGGGAAATACGTGAAGCAAATTTGCCTGTGAATGCTTTATATAAATACAATATAGGTAGGTCTAAATCCAGGTGATCACTCATATCAATGTTATATATAGGCTATAATCATATCGTCCAGCCCTAAAACTTGTAGCCTATAGTTTTTTTTTGTCATGACAACGCATGTGGTCATGTAAACACGGGAAACCCGTTTTCTTTTACACTGGTAGTTTTTTGCCTCTTACTCGGATTTCGCATTATGTAAACGCATTAACCTGCTTTCTGCTTTTTTTTCTCATCTCGTGCAGCAGAAGTAGAAGTGGTTCAGTCAAAACGCTGCATCTGTAACTGCATGACATGAGAGAATATACGAGCTGTAAGTTTCCCGCTGACATGTTGCAAGCTTTATTTAACATCAACCGACAAAACAAATGAAGTCAGATACGCAAATGATTGTTTTGTCGTCACACGGTCATGGCCTGATTTATTAATAAAGTCATGTAAACACGGTTTACTTGTGTTGTCATGGTTACTGGTTTGCATGTAAACGGGAAACTGGTTATTTCAATAAGCTGATATATGTGAGTTATCATCTTACTGGTGTGCATGTAAACGTGCTCAATGATAACTGCAAATCCACTTTTCTCTGGAGTCAAGTTGATTCTATGAATTGCATCGATCCATTTGCTTCTCTGTTCTGTAGCTTTTGGCAGTCTGTAAAAATATACCTCAGATTTCTTGTGAAATGTAGTTGTACAGTCAATCGCAAAGCTCTTTCCCATTTTAGATGTGTTTTTTGTGTTTTTCACGGCATTCACGCTGAAAACCAATGCTGCCGCTCAGTCTTTTTGCCACTCGAGTGGGCGTGACCGCAATCACTCCAGCTGACGGTGACGTCATACGCATTCCCTCTATACTCTAATGAGAATGAATTGAAATGTAGGTGCAACGTTACTTATAGTCAACAGAATGTCAAGAGGGTACCATCAAAATAAAGTGTAACCAAAGTTTTCAGTGTCGTGCAAACGCCTCCTAAAAGCCTTTTAAATTGCATGGCATCTAACACAGCCTATGTCATGTCGAACAACCCACCGATTCAATTGCTTTTACTACAAGTCCAATAGGAAAGTTCCTAGTTCATACATCAAAGTCAGTGCTTGTGTTTCGACTCTTAGCAGTGGAATGGTCAACTTCAGTGTTTTCTCTAAGACAGCTGCCCTCCATTCAGCCATAACTGATTCACAATGCAGTTCTCTGGATCGTACAGGTAAACGGTGCATCGTGATGAACAACAACAGTGACAACAGCGTGTCCTGGCCCATCAGATAAACATTTACTAGGATACAGTGTCAGCACAGGGACAGGCAGAGAAGCGGATGCAACATTTATGAGGTGCGCTCTCTTGATCTCGTGTTGGTTTAGCGCCAGACTCTTTAAAGCCTTGTGTTCTGTATAAGCAGCTGGCAAACTTACTCAGTGTGAATCGCAGCTAATGCGACCTATACAGCGCAGCTCATTACCGCAGTGCGTGTGCGAGCATCTGTGTTTTTGAGTGCATGTGTCTGTGCATGTGTTACTAAATGTGACCACCGAGCATGTAATTGTGTTTTGCAGTTTTTTTTCTGGTGACATCTAATAATTACTGTCAAAATCCTGCGTTTAACAAACTCTGAGGCAATGCAATAGCCTTGATTTATATAAAAGAACCTCCCAAATTGACCTGCTTAGCAACAAGGATAGTGTTACATGTTTGCAAGATTAAAACATCTTGAAGAAAATCGACACAACTTTAAAGGGATAAGAATTGTGTTTTACCTACCATCGAGTCGTTCAAAACCTTCATGCACTGGCCACAATTTTCTTTGAAAACACGGATGGACAATAAAATACATTTTTCTAAATATCTTCTTAGCCTTGGAACAACATAAGGATGTCCAGAAATTATCATTTTGAGTGAACTATGCATTTGTAATACTATCACAATTTCTACCTAAACCTCTTATGAAAAGACTTTTCTCTTTGGCTTATGCCACCAAGCCCTTTTATTTTTCACATTGATATCATGTTTCGCTCAATTAGTTGCAAACACCGTTTCATCAAATTAAGTTCTGCAACCATAACAATCAAATGTTCACCTTACCCGTCCAATCAGCACCGGTTCTGGTCCACTATATTCCTCTATCACAAAAAACTGGTTCCATATCCAGCTTCTCCGGCTCCGGGATTGTGAGGGCATCTCATCCAGATTTGGTCCAGTAAAGGTCCTGTGGAAATCACCACTGCTCTCTGCATCTTGGCTGCCAATCATTATAGTTTGTACTTCCTGTGTGCTGTTTTTTAACCCAGAAGGAGGCTTCAGCAGGATCACGCTGGCGTCTGATAGAGGTCCTTTTTCACCAGGTTCAGCTTCAGTTTCCTCTACTGCAGGAGTTAGATCAGCGGGAACGAAGCGATCTTGAGATATTCTAGATATTTTGGAGTTCTGGTCAAGAGGTGATACTGTTGTCTTAGTGATTTCTGGGATATCTTTGGAATTGGGATCAAATTGATTCAGAATACGTGGAGTAGAATCTGTGTTCACACTTGCATCAGACAACAAAACTGGAGTCAATGTGATTTCAAATCTAGTTTTTGCAATTTCTTCAATCTGTGTGTGATGCAATCCTGATACAGAGTCAATAGCGTCTTTGTTGCTTTTTGGCAAATCATCCTCATTTTTATGTGCTAATCTCAAGCTTGGTGTTCCTGCTTTGTTGGCAAATGACATCTCACTTTGCCCTTCCTCCACGTCTAGACTTTCTACCTGACTGTCTTCCCTTGCAGTTTGCAAATGCTCCTCACTTTTCCATTTTCTCAGACGAGCACTACTTTCCCCGAGCTCCAAGCACATGCACAGAAAGAGCAACGCAACCCAGATACTGCCACTCATCTTGCCTCACTTTGTTATTAGTCACAATGTTTGCCACGGGGGGAAGAACAATAAGATCGACCTTCACTCACGCTCTGTCTCGCTGAGTGGGCGGCTGCTCCATTCATCTCCTCTTCTCAATTCCTTATTCTTCATGAGGCTCAGTGGTCATTTAGCATCTTATCCGTTTTTGTGGATTACATTTCTCTCTTTGGGTCGGGTTAAACACAGAGGGCGATTCCCATGGTTTGGGTTTGATTGGGCAAACCTGTTCAAAGAGATAAGAGGATGAGAATCAGTGCTGATCATGAGAAAAGTTAATTGGGATTTGCTGTTGGGATTACTGGAAAACTAGCACAGTTTCAATTAGGTAACAGTTTGGGGTCTCTGCAGGATCATGGGTACAGAAACGTGCATGACTAGCCAAGGTTCATAAAACTTTCAATCTCTTAAAATCTGGGACTGCTCCAAAGAAGCCTTCCAAAGCACATTCATTTCCATTACTTCCCCAAAATGAGGTTGAGTTGAGGATTTCAAAGTCTTTTAGAGCATTCAAATTGAGAAAAAACATGTGATTGACAAATGTGATTCATTATTTCTTATAATTTATTTTCTTTTTGTCACACATCCTGATATCCAATACTTGATTTAAGGATATGGCATGCTATTAAAAGTAAAAAGCAAAAACAACAACAACAACAACAACAAAAAAACAGACAGCTTCTCTAGTCTAAACATGTTCAAAATAAATGACAATCATGCATCTTTTATGCAACAGCTTTAGAAGCAAAAAACAATATTGCAATATTCCTTAAACTGCCCTTGGCCATCTCACAAACTTTATGCTCGTGAAATGTAATTAATCGCTTGCATTTTAGATGGCTAAGCACTTTGAAACAGTCAATCACTTAGGCTAGTTCTTAAAAACGTGTTGATTTGCGTGATTGAGCATTTTACAGGGCTGTTTCTAACTGTACGGACGAGGTTATTTCCATCCACATTAACACTCGACCATTTCAAATTCTGGCACTCATTCACTTTTATGCGGCACATTTTTAGAGGCACATGGAGGCTCTAAACTGCACTACAGCTCGACTATTTCAACAAGCAATACCGACTCTATCTTTAAACAAGGCTATTTGTCACTAACTGTCCTTTTAAAATATCAAAGCGTAAAACTGACTCGAGTATTTTATAATAATCCAGCAGCTGTCTTTGACTACAACTGAATGTTCTAGCTTTACCACCCTTGTGAATAAGAAGAACACTTTAGCATACTTTTATAAAGAACACTTACTACAGAAAAAAATTCTCTAAAAGAATATTCCTAAGTGCAAATGTAATGTCATTTTTTCACACACTTATGAACCAGTAAAGCGCATGTGCATGATGTCATCATCTTCAGAGATTTGAGTTTTTGGTGATTACACAGAGACCGAGACGGCCAAATGCATACAAAGGTTTACGTTTTTTTTTTTGTTGAAAACGGTGTCGTGTAAACAGTCGTGCAAATTTACATTTGCATGTAAATTTAAAATTCAATGAAAATGTATTATAATGCAGTTTCATATTTATTTCTATTATCTTTGAAATATGGTTAGCATCAGTGGCGGTCTTAACATAGAGGCATAGGTAGGCGGCTGATTGGGGCCCCCTACCAGCGGTCGTAGTAGGGGGCCCCCCAGCCAACCTCAAAAAATATATATATAAAAGAAAAGAAAAAGCCCCTTATCATCATGAACGCTTCAAAAGCATAGTAAATGTTATTAATATTCTTAAGAAATACGTTGAAATGTTGAAGTAGTAGTTAAAATGTCCAGTTCATGGTTATCTGTCCCTACACATAACACCCCCTACTTTCGCAATAAAATGGACTAGTCCGTAATTGTGCACGGCGCGAAACCGCGAAAGATAAACACGACAGGAGGACTGGGAAGTACACAACGAAGCAAGACGAGTCTAAACGCGAAAATGAAACGACCAAGCGGCTCAAATAAAAGAAAAAAAGACAAAAGACGCCGATATGTATTTGGCAACGCTGCCAAAAATGACAAACCATTACGCCTACTGTTGGGGACACATGCCGCTACAGCAGCAGCTGTGAAGTAACGCTAGTTGAGGATAACGTGTATACATCCTACTGAAAGGGCAAAAGTAAATATGACATTTATTATGGGTTTATCTGATGATTGTTTTAAGTTCACGTAAATTAAAAGTTTTTTTTTTGAAGCCTAACAAAATGTAAATTTTTTGGCTTTCAATTACACTGTAATGTTTGATGGCTGGCTATAATTAATGTTTAAAATTAGGGGAAAAAATATTTTCTATCCAGACATCAATAGCTGTACTGACCTTCATTCATAAAAAGATGCCATTAAACAAGTATTTAAAATATACTGTCTTTATGTTATCTCTACATTCATTTGTAGATTAACTGTGAAATTATTACATTATAAAATATATAAACTAATACAAACCTATAAAAATGTTTGTTTGTAGAATGTTTGAAATGTCAATCTCATTTGAAATGCCAATTGCAACCTCACTCACTCATACAAAGTCAATTATTCATCTTGGCAATATTTGCTAAGTATATGGCTGTTTGTGGGGGTTTACCCTAACTACTTGTCTTGCTGGTTATATTGATATTGATTTGATCTTAAAAAAAGAATAAACAGTGCTGGGTTTCCTGGCATTTTGGCAAAGAGAGGTGTTATCTGAAACCCTATTCTTTGTTGGGGAAGACTTTTTTTTCTCCTCTCCAACCTTTACCTCCCCGTAGATTAGCTTTTCCTACCATTCAGTCGGTAAAAAAAAATTTCCGTTCTCATAAAGATGTGATGGGGGGGGGGGGGGGGGGGTGGCATACGTACCTTCGCTTTGGGCCCCCAATTTGCTAAATCCGCCACTGGTTAGCATTTATGCTAAAATTAAATATATCTTAAATGTCATTTCTACTGAAACGTGTATCTCATGCACTTAAAAATATTTGTAAATAGACATTTCAAATGAAGAAGCAGCAATTTAGTACATTTACAATATATTAACTTTCAATGTAATATCGAATAACACACTACTTTACATGTGCTTTAGTATGTTAGTCATCAACACATCAAAATAATTGCACAACAGAAGGTTTATACAACAGTGATTTAAAATGTACTTTAAAGTAAAAAAAAATGTATTTGACATTAAAGTTAACGTTTTAAAAATGCACTTGGGTGTGTTAAGAAACATAGTCATGAAATTGAACTCTCTTTAAGTAGGCCTACTCTTAACTGGCCTTTGATTTAATTAAAATCCTATTATCTGCAATTGTATTAATGGTAACACTTTACAATAAGGTTCATTAGTTATTGTATTAAAGGCACACTGTGGAATTTTTGGCCACTAGGGTGCGCTCGACCTGTAATTTTCACGTCTAGTGCCCCTAGAGGCCACAAGCGCCGCAGCATTGTCGCAAAAGTCAACAAACAGTCAACCGGTCAACCTCCCGTGTCTTTATGTGTGTGCAGACGGCATTTGATTTGTATGTTGGAGAAAGTTAATCGATTCACTACAGACCAAAATAATAATATAAATATAAGATTAATAATATAAATCCTATAAAGAAAACAAATTGAATAAAAGTAGCATACGCAGAAAACAATGTCTGATCAGGTAAGTCGCATTGACAAGGGTTGCCCAATCCTGCTCCTGCCGATCGTCTGTCCTGCACAGTTCATCTCCAACCCTAATCAAACACACCTGAAGCAAACAATTAACGTCTTCAGGATATCTTTGCAATGGGTTGGAGATGAAATCGAGTAGTCGGGAAATCGTGTAACAAAACTGATATAACTCACTACATATTTCCGTTATTTGTAGTCTTCAGTTTGTTTTTCATTTTAAACAAATACAAACATATATGAGCTGAAAGGAAAAAAAAAAACATTTACATTTGTATACGGCAGTATGTTGTGACTTATATCAGTTTTGTTACACGAATTCGCAGTAAATATTACATTATATATACACTTTTATGCCGATGTTTATTTTAAACTCTCCCTTTTTCTTTTTTTGGTCTCCTCTGACAAAATCTTTGCTTTCTTCGCTTTCTTCCGAGTAGCTGTTGATTCAGTCATGACGACAATATACAGAAGCCGGTAATCAAACGCGAGTTGAGCTCTCACGTTAGAGGAAGTTGGGCTGGTGGGGGAAGTGACGTATGCCGTAAAGCGGTCGAATTTTGTAGTTCTTTTTGTGCTCGGGTTCCTACCCGAAACCCGAAGTTACATAGTGCTGGTAAAAGCGATACAGACACCTTCAGGCTTCGGCAGACGTGTCATTCAACCTATTGTAAGTCGATGTACCATCTCAATGGGTTTTGGTAATATATTATAAAGGTTGAAAAGTTCCACAGTGTGCCTTTAACGAACATGAACAAACCACGAGGAATACATCTGTTACTGTATTTGTTAATCTTTGTTAATGGGTGGGAGATATGACATGCAATTCTACCCGTCCATGATGTCATAACCTAATAAAAATGGGTATTTGTTAAAAATATATATCTTCATGTTGATGCTGTAGTTGGTGTATAAAGACCTCTACTTCAAATTTTTATCTAAACATCAAAATTGTCATGTGGTGTGACTGTCCGGGATATGTGTGACCTAACAAATATGACAATATATTTCAGCAAAGTATAAATAATTGATAGATTTACAGTTTAAGTAACAGAATTAGGCTATTTCAACAGACACAGAAAGTGTTGATGTCTATGTATAATTTTAAAGCAAGTTCTGGCCAAATACATTTTGTCCGTAAAATGGGCATCATATGGTGTGACATTGCAATTTATATTTTGAACGGGCAATAATTTGGACATCATTATGATGAAGAAGTCCACACTCAACCAGGAAGTTGCAGTGTCATCTCTGGAGTGGTTTGCAAGGTCAAGAGGTGAGTTCTGGCTTTTTCATTTTTAATTAAAAAGCTCTGTATCTGATATGCTCACTAGTGGTCAATGTTTTGTGTCTTATGGTGTGACATTATTTACATAAAAATTAAACACTTTTATACTAATTTTACTTATTAATTCTTAAAAATCAGTCCTGCCATGTGGTAATTTGCATGCTAAGTATAAGCTAGCTGTTTTTAGTTAACCAAGAGATTAGCTTAACTGAACAAAACGTCATATGGTGTGACACTGTATCATATGGTGTGACTGTTTTTTAAGTCACACCATATGATATATTTGTCACACAATATTACATACACCTTTTT